TTTAGCACAGTTGTGGGCTTTTTCCTAAGCTATTTAACAGGGCAAGTGAAAAGAGGTCAAAGCATACAGTGCAGAGGCATATAATTTTCACTGGACAAATCCAATCTAATAGTTATGTTGCCTGATTGATCTAGTCCTGAATGTGTGAAGGCACTACCTAAATTTATTTATTATATTTATTAAATATGCTGTCATAATATCCCTTGCATACAAATCCTTAAAACTCAGAAAAACCTTAACAATAACCTTGTTTAACCCACTAGCAGTGCAAGAGTTATGCAGAGAATCAGCAAATCAGTGTTTAAAAAGTGACAGTGTTTTGTGCAGTACTTCAAGCCTGAGGTTCTGGACATGTCACCGACATATTCCAGAGTTACTCAGAATTATTGTCAATTGGGTCATGCAGATGTAAATTTGCAATGGCCAGAGCTCTAATGGTGCAATGATAAATCCCAGACATACAAGGCTTGTGTTCAAAGGCCTGATTCGCTAAGATTTCTCACTGTTGCTACCACTATCCAAAGTTATACATGAAAATTATGGGAAAAGGCCCATACTTACAGTCATGATCAAACTACTGCATAAAGCAAAAGACTTTTGCGAACTGGAACTGGTGTAGTGATTGGCAGTAGATAGACAGAACAAATCGGATAGACTCAGAAATCTATATTATTTCAGTTGAATTATTTATTTCTCATTTAAAACACTGATGTTGGAAGTAAAAGGTGAAGAATCTGTGTTTCCATAGTCACTTTGAATATTGGGAATGTATTTCAAGAACAGGATATTTCTCACCTTCAACATGCAAAGCAGCCAAATTAAGATAAGGTCATGATGATCCTAATCAGTTAACTGTTTTGGATAGTCATCTATTTTCATCTTATTAAAAGAGAATCTCCTACAGGTTTTCTCAGTTCCTGAATTACAGACACAGCCATAGTGGTCTGCGGGTGTTAAAGTTTGTTTTCTTGATGAGTATGTTAGAAGGTAATTTCAGTTATTTCAGCAGATAGAGATCTGTCTTCCATAAGAAATAAATCTAAACCAGCACAACACAGATGTTATATATTCTGTTTAAAGTACCAAAGCAGTGCTGTGCTCTAGAAAGCATGATGAACTTGCTGCATTGCTTCCTATTTTCATCATAATGAACTCCTGATGTTACAGGTCAAGGAGTCTAGAGAAATTTCTAGCAGGAATTACAGTTCTAATTTGCAGGTAACAATGAGAACTTCCATTGATTTATTAACCTACAATAATAGTACTGGCACACATGGACAGCTGTCAGCAGAAGTTCTTGGTGGCATAAAGAACAGGGCTGCCCTTATCACTCTGCATCCAACAACCTTGACTCATCTCCCTGCTTCAGTTTTCTCACCTTCTAGGTTTTGCAGTCATTTTATTTCTTAGTAGCATAACTAAAGCTAAGTTCATCACATGCAGCCTTGCCACTGTTGTTCAGTTGCCTTACATGAATATCTTACTATATTTATTGAAGTAGTTAATGCTGAGGAAATTTTTTAAGCCTATTAAAAGAGCCAAGAAGTGATTAAGTATGTACAGCTACATGGGAATTTTGATATTGGCTGCTGAGTGCCAGCGTAGAGGAAAGGGGTAAAAAAAGGAGAAGAGTACAAAAAGAGGGTGAAATGACACATAAAGTAAGAAGCAATTTCAAGGGAAGAAAAATCAGTAATTAATGAGAAAGCAGCAGGAAAAAAAGGCAAACGTTACTGTCAAGGTTTAATTACTTCTCAAATGTAAGTTTCCTAAGATTCTGAAGACAACATGAATGCTCTCTGCAATTACATGGGAAGACTGAAGTCCTTGTTACAGGCAACTTCTCTCAGTTCTGTGTCTTGGGGACAGATTGTCCTCTTTTTCAGAAAGAGAATGAAGTAGTGTCTATCACAAAGAATTCACCCAAAAGGTGACCCAAAATACTGAAGGGACCACAATCAAGGAATATGCAGGAAAAACCTTATTGTAAAACAGCAATTAAGAAAGTTATGACAGTACTTGAGATGGAGCTCCAAGGGGGTCAGTGCTCGTTAATGGGGCCAAACACTTCTCCATGGCTGACAGCTCCTGCACTCACCAAAAGAGCTGAAGATTTTGGCGAGCATGAGGAGACAGTCCCTCTTCAGCAGGCACTTGAAAATGGACACAATCATTGCCAACTGCCCATACACCACAGAACTCCTCATTACTGAGAAAACAATAACTGGATGGACATGCCAAGAGAAAAAGGAAGAAGAAGACTGATGGGCAGGAGATTCCAGTGGCTATATTCAGAAAGGGGATCCGTAGAGTAGTGTCCTCATGGACTCAGCATCAGCTACATGTGCAGGAGAGAACTGGAATCTGCTCGGGCAACCTAGTTTCTCCAGAGCAGCCTTTCCCTTAGGATAGACAGCAGAGGTGCTTATTAATAGACAGGCCAATGCTGTGGCAAAACTGAAGAGGAAGATAAGCATTACATTTTTCAGGTAGAGAATTAACACAAATGAGTTAACAAAAGCCTGGTTAATTTTTTTTAAATGGGGAAGAGAAGAAATATATTTTTCTACCCTTTTATAACCGTGAGGACAACCAGAAAATGCTTCCAAAATTGATACCATACGTGCAGATTAAAACCAGGCTTTGAGCCAAATCCTCCTCTTCAGTTTCACTGGCGGAGCCCAGCAGACTGCCACAGAGCTACGCTGGAGCAAGCAGGGAAAAGAATTTGACCCTTTGACTGCTGCATCAAAAGCAGCTAACTTCCCACTCTATTTGGTGGCCTCAATATTAAAAGTTACAAATGTCTTTGAGCTCAGAAACGTATCAATTTTCTGCTGGAATAGTTATGTGCTGATGTCCTTCTGCCCTGCTCTCTCCGAAATGACATTCCCTCTCCCCTGAGGCAGCGTAACTGGCATTCCCACTGATGTCCCTGTCTAGCTGGGGATGTATTGGATTGATTGGTTCCTGATGAAGGAAGTTCCTCCTCTCCCTAATCAATCTCCCAACACAGATAATCTATGAAAATAGCAAACAATGATTTTTAAACTAGGCTATCATTTAACTTCTTCATTATTCCACTGGTCCATACCTATGGACTCAAGTACAAAATGTCCTCTCCCGTCATTTTCAAAGTCAGCCAATTCAAATGTCAGAGCTTATCTCATGATCACAGCTGGTAAAGATTTATTTTTATGTAACAGAGGCTACACATTGTATACATGAACGAGAATGTACACTCCAGAAAGAGGACTATACAGTACTTTGCAGTGAAGCTAAACCTGCAAATGCAAACCTTAAGATAGCAATTGCCTCTTTGTACCATGAAATTGTGGATTCTCTTGATAAGGACTGAAGATGAGAATATCTTACTCAAATGATAGATATAAAAGGTATCCTGACTGAAAAAAAGAAGTACTCTCAGCATGAAAATAGCTGTTTTGTTACTCTGCACTAAAATACCTTATAAGTAAACCTGCTAAAGCAAAACAATGGAAAGTTTTGTTGTTGTTTATGAAGAAGGTCACACCAAGAGCAACTTTCATATAGAAACTTGATTCCCTTAATGCTCTTGGATACAGAATTAGTTCAGAGCATTTCCCCAAACATTTTAGGGAAATGCAGGGATGCCCCTTGCCCAGAACACACACAACCAGCAGATGCAGAATTCAGTTTTCAGATGATTAATTTAAGAAAATGGGAAAGGGAGGGACAAGAGCAGGGAAGAGCACTTTGGTGCTCTTTTTAATGCTGTGTCTCTGCTGTAGATGTGAAATCTGCCTTTTCCCTCCTCAGTGCTCCCTACCATTCAGCCCCTGTCTTTGCTTCAGCTGTAGCCCATGTTTTTACCAGATCCCTTCCAACAGGCCTGACTCCCCATCTGCTTGCTGAGTGCATTGGGTTTGCATAGCAAGCTTTTGGTAGCAGGGAGGGGGGCTGCAGGAGTGGCTTCTGTGGGAAGTTGACAGAAGCTTCCCCATGTCCAGCAGAGCCAATGCCAGCTGGCTCCAAGATGGATCTGCTGCTGGCGAAGGCCAAGCTCAGTGGCTTCCTTGGTAGCACCTCTGGGATTATGTATTTAAGAAGGGGTAAAAAATAAACACTTCACAACAGCAGCCAGAGAGAGGAGTGGGAATATGTGAGAGAAACAACTGTGCAGACACCCAGACCAGTGCAGAAGGTGGGGAGGAGGTGCTCCAAGCACAGGAACAGAGATTGCCCTGCAGTCTGTGGAGCTGACCATGGTGAGGCAGCTGTGTCCTGCAGCCCATGGAGGTCCATGAAGGAGCCGTGACCAACCGGCAGCTCATGGAGGGCCCCAGGGGAGCAGTGACCAACCTGGAGCCCATGGATGTCCCGGGGGGAGCAGTGACCAACCTGCAGCCCACGGAGGGCCTGGGGGGAGCAGTGACCAACCTGCAGCCCATGGAGGGCCCCGTGCCAGAGGAAGTGGGTGTCCAAGGGAGGGTCTGACCCTGTGGGAGGCCTGTGCTGAAGCAGACTCCTGCCAGATCACGTGGCCCCATGGAGTGAGGATGCTGAGGTAGTCTGCTGCAGGACTTGTGACCCTGTGCAGGACTCTCACTGGAGCAGCCTTTTCCTGAAGGACTGCACTCCTGGAAGAGATCACAGTGTTTGTGCTGTTTGTGAAGAGCTGCAGCCTGAGGGAAGGACCCACCTTGAGGAGCTCACACAGGACTGCACCCCATGGGAGGGACTCACACTTGAGCAGGAGTAGACTGTGATGAGTCCTCCTTCTGAGTAGGAAAAGTGGTCCAGGCAGCATGGGATGAACTGATCTCAGCCCCCATTCCCTGTCCCCTTGTGCTGCTGGAGCAGAGGAGGTACTGAAAACCAGGAGTAAAGCTGAGCCCAGGAGGAAGGGAGAGGTGAGGGGAAGGTGTTTTATGATTTGGTTATATTTTTAATTATCATACTCAAATTTGATTGGTAATAAATTAAACTAATTTCCCAAAGTCAAGCCTGTTTTGCCCATGACAATAATTGGAGAGTGATCTCTCCCTGCCCTTAATTTGATCCATGAGCCTTTTCTTGTATTTTCTCTCTTCTGTCCAGTTGAGGAGAGGAAATATAGAATGGCTTTGGTAAGCACCTGGTGTTCAGCCAGGGTCAAACCACCACACTGAACCAGATCTGTTCCCTTCTCTGGCACCAGGAACTTCTTTGCAGTCCCTGTGTCTCCTCACTGGCAGCATTCAAGGCAGCGCTGCTTGGATGCTCAGTAAGAGCAGAGGAAAAGTTTGCTGTCTTCCACACAACATCCAAGATCCACACAGTCCAAAAAGGCAGCACAGAGCAAGTTCAGCCTCCACAAAGATCAAGCAGTCAATTTTCTTTAAGGCTCAAGCCTGGTATATACTTTTCCAGAAATGGCTCCCTGTAAAAAAAAAAAAAAAATCACAAAATCAAACTCACCATAATTTTCTTGTACTACAATGTCTATTCTTCATAAGTTCTATTTTAAGATGTGATTAAAGTTTTGGCTAGTCCTGAAACAATGCAGCAGAAAGCCCCAGGATAAAAAGTTTCAGATAAATTGTTCTTTTTTTGGCAGGGGCAAAACGACACACAACATCTCAAAGATGAAACTCAAGCAAACACCAAAGACAAAGACTGCAATGCCTGACCTGCTCAATGTGGCACAGGGGATACAAGAGAAAGAACATTCTGGTAAAGGAGAGTCACCAGTAACTTTTAGAATGGATGGTGATATTCATTGTGTTGAGGGAAAGAGTAGGCATGTTGCATCTTAAGCAGCCAAGCACTGCTATGGGCACTGCAGTTAGTCAGCATTTTTGCTGGTGTCTGTTCCCTTACAGTTCCAGGAGCCTCCTGCCACATGGGAGGCCACTACAAAATTGAGAAGTCCATCTCTGGACTATTTCTGTACAAGATAAGGTAATACACTCTCATTAAATCCTAATATAGCCAAAATAGTTTTATAAATTTAGTTTGCCATGTGTTTCCAAAAAAAAGTCACTTAGAGAACATCAATTAAGATGACAGCAAGGCAAAAGAAAGCTTATGGAGGCTGCTTGTAGCTACACAAATAAGGCTTGAATGAGGTGACAGCAATGCTTACAATTGATGATTTAGCATTAGCATCTGGTGATCAAGACTTCCATAGAAGGTAATAAAAATAGTCAGGTCTGAGAGTACCTTCCCAGTCTCTCCTTTTTTCCTAGTTGGGGTTCTTCAGCATCCTTAGCAAGTGCTCTTCCATCCTCAGAGGGAGACAGCCTGAGCTGGGCTGGCATGCCCTGTTTTACCCACAGCAGTTACAGATTTTTATGTACTAGTTGAAGGAATCCAGAGAAAGGCAAAGAGGTTGATCAAGCAGTTAGAAAACAGGACCTAATAGGAAAAAAATCAAAAGCATGAGATTGTTTAGACAGGAAGAAAGAGACATAACCATTTTCAAAATAGAAAGGATAAGTTTGACCAAGACAGACAGCAACATTGGATGCTTACATATTATCAAAATGCAAATGAGGGATTTCAACAGTGAGGTGACTTATCCAAAAGAACTCAGAAAAGCCAAGAACAAAGTTCAAGGCCTTTCATGATCAGTCCTGTGCTCTCACCTGTAGCCATTATTTTCTAGATACTGTTTAGGTGACAGGCTCTTTCTGAATGGAAGATATTAAGTGACTGTCATTTTATACCAAAGCAAAGTTTCTGCTGTGGAAGTCTTACCTCAGACTGTTTTATCTTTACCCTTATCAGTTGTTTTTATCCTCATTTCTACTATGTGCATCCAGCTATCTTTATAATCTCTTTTCTTTCCCACCCAAACAACAGTATGAATAGCCAGAAAACCTATTTGGAAAAGGCCAGGGATGTAAGGGATAAATAGAATGATCTAGCAGTCAGGTTTACTGTAATCTCTTGACAAGCATCCCTCCAGCTTTCAATTCCTTGGACAGAATGAACAATGCTAAAAATCATGGTGGTGTATCTAATGGAAATGGTACTTTTCTCACTGTATTTTTGCTACCAGGTCTGATAGTATTGCAGAGTGAAACTACAAAATAAGCATGTGGGGATCTTCACTATACTGATGGCTGCTCTGTAGTTTTTGTAAGCAAGCTGTCCATAGCCCTTTTGCTGCTCCCCAGGTACAAATTTGTAGCTGCAAGTTCGGGTCTGGGCAGGGATGATGCCTGAAAGCCTGTACAATTTGCTACTGGCTTGGAATTTGCTACGGCCTAAGTGAGTCCCAGTAACTCAGATGTTTAAAGAACAATCTCCAGTTCTAGAGCCAGGAGATGACAGAAGCCCACCCTGTCAAAGCACAGCCCCACTGTCAGGCACATCACAGATGCAGCACTTCCTGCCTTCTCCCATTGCTCTGGAAGTACTCACTGCACTCTTTGCAGTAATGGTCCGTGGAACAGCTCAGGCACCAGAGCCATACTATGAGCAAAACTCTGTTGTTCAGCTACATCTGGCTTCTACAATGGGTAGTGATTTTTTTAAATTAAATCAGCATGCTGAGGGTGTGCCAGCTGGACACAGCAAAACACGGACAGCATTCTGTTGAACAAAGAAAGAAAAGAAAGATAGATATTCAATGAAGTAGATTTGACCCTCAGTTTGAAACCCACACCCAAAAAAGTGTTGTTTGCAAGGACATCTCAGAAAGAGACATTCTAAAGGCTTAAATGTCTAAATTTTCTGGTTGCCCATGTGGCCAGATACCAATCTCAACATGTGGCAGATAATCTGAGTGTAGGTAATGCATTATATATTAAGCTGGCTATCCAAGAAGCAAGTTGCTTTCAGTTAGGTACCAAACATCAAATCCATTGGGACTTAGAATGCTCAAGCATTTTGAGAACATAATCAGAAAGGAGAACAGTGTTATAAACTAGTCAGGACTTCCCATTATTTTTTTCATTTCAGGAACCAAGCTTTTTTATGAGTTGAAGAAAAAGACTCTGATTTACCAGTGATGTTATTTAGAACATCATTTCTCCAACAGATCTCTTGTTAGGCCAGAATGAAGTCAGTGCAGTAAGTCATGAATTGTCATAACCACAGTATTTGTTGGCTTTCTGGAAATTTTCTTAGACTACACATAATTAGTGTAAGTTAATGATATATTCAATTGCTTTTTTAGTATAAATACCACTGTAGATGGAACATCATTTAATACATAAAACGGCCAATCAGTAGTCCTTTTTTTTTTTTTTTTTTTTTTTTTTTTTTTTTTTTTTTTTTTTTTTGGAAGAGAATAACCTTCTCTTTGACACTGGGAACAGTAAGAAAAAAATCATCATTTCATGTCTTAAAACTTTACACTTGTCTCTGATAATAACTATATTATCTTGTTTTGCATGAAAAACCATTACCAGTTTGATATTTAATGTCTTTAAACAAACATATCAGGTTGTAGGCAAAGGTGAGAGTTAGAATGCTCTTTGGTTTTGTAGGTAGCTGATTCTTATTTTTTAATGCTTTCATGGAATTCACAAAACAGAGAGGTCATCTTTGTTCCAATACTAAAACTTCTGACAAAAGATTTGAATTTTCAAGCTTTACACACTTGGGTGAGAGCTCACTCCTTATGTAGGACACTTATGGGATCAGATTGAGACATGTGAGCCTTCTTCAGGCACAGAGCATTTAACAGAACACATCATTAAGGTCAAAACTAATAATCAGAAAGGATTTTCATATAGTAGCAGGTGACTGTGAAACAGGCATGAAACTCAAGTGGAGAAAAAAAAATAGATCACAGGAATACCTGAGACTTTTCTCAAAGATGTTGTACCCTCTAGCAAATTTGCCAGACATCTCACCTAAGTGTGTGCACAGAATGCCACATCCTATTTTAGATTAATACTCTGTCAAAAGTATAACAAAAGAATGAATAGAAAAAACCCACCAGAACAATTTGCAATTTTTTTTCTTAATAGGAATCACATATAAGACAATGTAAATATCTCAAAGTTCAAGTTCTGTAGAAACAAAACAAAATAACTCCTCCCTCTCTACAACATCACATTTTGTTTCTTTCCGAAAATCCTGATATAAACACTTTTCTCAGCAAGCAAGCAACAAGCCAACCAAGTGCTGGAAAAGTTTTGAACCATGACAGTGAACTGATGTCAGCCAGCAAACAGAATTCATCATGAATTAATAAAGAAGGAGGGAGAGGAGGTATTGTCAGTTGGTTTTAATCACTTAAAATGAAGCAAAAGGGGAAAAATGCAGCATGAGAATAGGAACTCTAGATCTTTTCATTCAATACTGCAAGTAATGTAGATGTACTCTATAGGTCTGATGTTCAGAAAGATTTAGCATCCAAAATTTAAATGTATTAGGAATTTTCTGGGAAGCTAAGCACTTCTAAAGCCAGACCATTCTTCTCCTTTCACTGTCCAAGCACATTCACCTCCTGTAATATCCTAAAAATGAATAGCTGAGATTGACATATCCCATACTCTGTCTGGTTTTTTTTTTCTTCTGTATTGTGGAAGACATTGTTGAGGGACTGAAACTTAAATCAGTGTCCAGGATAAATTTAATCCATCTTAGCATTAATCTCAAAGTTAACACGATCACTTTCTAGGAAAAAAATAATTTTATCTCCAATACTGGGTCCCAATTAAAATAATCTCTCTGGCTTGAACACCAACATTAGAGTTGAGAGACAAAACTAATGTGCTTTGCTTGGCTGATTATCTAAGTCTTTCCACTGGCACCTTCTCAAACTGACAGCAGTGGAGGAAGACAGGGGCAGCAACTCAGTACTGTGGGGGTTGCTGTCAAGATGGGAGACAAGAAAACAACATGCAGTGCTATGGAAAAGGTTGAAAGTGGTTGGGAATCACTGGTGTATAACTGGTCCTGACTGAAATGTTTCATAAACATACTTAACTCAAGAAATATTTTGCAATTTCTGCAAATACGCCCCCCCACTCTGCACACACGTTTCTCATTATGGACTTAATGTGCAGCACAAGCATCTCCCTTTCACTTGTGCAGCAAGAGGGTTTTGACACGTAAAATCCTTGGACACTATTGCAAAGTTACATGTGTGTGTGGCCCTCCTGCCAGCAACAAGGATATAGTTTACATTTAAAGAAGTTTTTAAAAGAATACTGCCTTGACCCTCCTCTGGGGAAGGAGGAAGTCCCTGAAGTATAGCACTAATGACAATTTTACATTGTTGTTTGGGGTTTTTTTCTGCTGAAGAGAAATGCTAAAGCCTCCTAGTTTTCATTTTGGACAAATAGCAAGGTCCAGAGTCACCTCAGGGGATCTGTAGTCATGATGCTTTCCTACAGTGGGCCCTGCTGCATGCCATGAACTGTTCTTCCCCCAGCCAGTCAGGCATCAATCCGCCCATCTCTCTAAAAACAGTGATAACTTCCCTGCCACTCTACTCAGCTTGTTATTTCAGCATTTTAGCAAGGGTGGATAATACAGAGAGCTAAATACATTCCACCAAGAATCTCCCTTAAAGGTGGTTCTTTGGCAGCTGCCTTTATTTTTCAGCTCCCAGGAAACCCACAGGAAATCTTTTCTGGGCCAGAGGTTGCCAAACACTTGCAGAAGATTGTCTCTTTCCCTTCTCCCCTGTCCACCTTCATCTTTCCACTCCAGCCCTGGAAGCAACTCCAGCACACAACGAGATGAGTTTATCCCTGGCACAATTAGGGTTAATTGGCCTGAAACTCTGCTCCCTTTTCAGAAAAAGTCCTCTCAAATTTATTCATGCATTTAAACCTAAGATATTTTAGGTTCACCCATTGGCCCTCCTTGTCTTGCCTACAACCCCTGAGATGCAAACAGAACACTCATAATTTTTTAGGTTTCTCTGCCATCTGCTATTTGGGCAAAGTGAGGAAGTGCAATGCCGGGGATTAATTTTCACTTTAGGCCTCAGCCAACAGGCTTATACATTCATTTTACAACTTGCAGGTTTCCCCAGTGAAAATAAACTGATGTAAATAACATTTTCTGCAATCACCTGGGTCCTCTGTTCAGCCCAAGAACCTGAGAAAAGATGGAAAATGCCTCTAGAGAAGAGAGTGAGTATATGAAGAGATACTTGACCAAAGCTACAAGAGAATATAGGAGAGAAAGTGGGAAGGGGAGATACATAAAGCATACAATTTTGAGCAGCAGGATGTTGGGCAGTAGAAACTGTGAGAAGAGAACTTGTACATTTTCTTTTCCTGGAGAAAGTAAGGAGTTCCAGTCAAGCAAAGTGCTGAGAAAGCCTATTCACAATGCAGTAGCAAGGAGGACGAAAGAAACTTGGATAATTGGATGGGAGAAGTCAAAGCTAGACTGAAGTTTGGAAGAGCTGAGCTCTTGGCACTTTTTTCCCCAGGAAAGTGATGCATTCATATTGGATGTGGTTCTTGCCCCACCTCCCACCTGTAACAAAGTGCTCTCAGCCTCTTGTGCTCAGGCTAATAAAGGAGGCAGAACTGAATGGACCCATGGCTTCTCATTTGCATGAAAGAGTACTGCAAGCGCAAAAACTTCAGGGAAGAGGCAGGGGTGGGGGACAGGTGAGGCCATGTCTGTAGTCTCTGCTCCTTTGCTAAGTGTCCCTTGTGTCCCAGGGAGATAAGAGGTGTCAACCAAAGCAATGGGATGGGGCTGCAGAGATATGCAGACATAGAAACTGTCACTATTTGTGCATTAAAAAAGGAAAAGGAGAGAGGATGCTAAACTCCATATTTTCTCTGGCACTTTGTGAACCCCAGGGCTGGCAAAAATGACTGTTAGGTGCATTTGGTGTGATGGTATAAGCAGAGAAAAACAGAACACCATCCCCAGTGAGTAATCTACCCCGATTAATTACCACTAAAAGGGAGAGACATGAGGAGGAATGGAAAAGGAGAGGAAGGGTACATAAAAATGACAAGCTCTCTTTTCCTGGCCAAATTTATGCCAGTCAAATACTTTCTGCATCCCCAGAGCTTCTGAGGTGGTTAACTTGAGTTGTTGTTTTCTTTTTAAGTGGCCTATCCACAGTGTATGCTAGAAGCTATGTTTTATAGCATTATTCCTGAAGATAATTTTCTAGATTTTTTTAAAATTTCTGTGCCCACATGAGAGAATCACGCAGTCTGTCAGTTGATCACAACCTGAAAATCCCCAAGTGGATCTATAATGTCAAGTGAATTGAGCCACTGCCCTGTGCCTCACCTTAAGACAATCAACAATTCCATGTTACAGAAAGGTTCAGAAACGAGAACTATTTTTATTTCCTCAGCATTTTCTGCAGTGCTTCACTTTGAAAATTTTGAAATAAGTTTAGAGGTTTAGTATCTCTCCAGAGAAACTATTCCCAGCTTGGTAACAGTAGATTCCATAATAATTTTCTTCTGCCATCTCTTCTGCTTCCCTACATCACTTTCATCCCTTAAAAAAGAATGTCAGACCTTGCCTAATTTCTGAGAGGGTACTGTGTATCCTCTCCATGTACTAGAAACTGACACTTTGAAGCCCGGGTTAAAGACCTGGCAGATGTAACACACATTGTCAGATAAATAAGCTGAGT